AATCATGTCATTAAAGCAAACAAAAAGAACTTACCAGGTATGCCAGTCTATGCTTGGAACCACAAACATGCATGAACATGTTATTCAGTCCCGTCTTACAGTAGCACAGTTGACATTCATAGAGGAAAGGAAAATTGTCTTTTGATCGGTACTCTATTATATAATTAAGACCTGGAGAAATAGAAAAAAACAAACAAAACTTAGGAAACAAATCATCAGTGCTAGTTCCAAAAGAGACATTAAAGAAAAAGTGTAACCATAATGAGATTTTATTATTACACATTACCTAATTTTACATTTTAAAAAACTAATCCATGCTCCTTAAAGGTAAATATCCCACAAGCAAACAACTACAGTATTAAAAGCCCTCACCAAGTGCAGGTTCTGAATCTTTACATGTATTAAGCTGTTCTTCCAATGTCTGTCCATGAAACCTCTCTGGCTCACTTTGCCCTGCAAGAAATTCGCATTGAAGTAATCCCTGCTCAGACATGGTCCCACATCACAAATTAAGTTAATTATTATAAAACATTATCCCCCCCAATCCTATTTTCACTCTTTTTAAAGCATTTAGTTTGCAAATATTGTCTTAAGTATTATTACAAAATATTACTTAAAATGGAAAATACGATGAACAGAAATTAATTCCCAATGACCTGCTAAGGTCTAGACACCACTTGTAATATTGTACCTCAGCATTTTTTATTTCTTCCTTTTTCTGGGGGAGGTAGGGGGGGCAGGCATTAAATGTTCTTACCATAATCAGGAAGTTTTACAGGTGTTTTCACTTGCTTCCCAGAGCCACTGGGTGTTTTAACTAAAAAAAAAAAAAAAACCAACCAAAAACCCACCAAAACAAAACAAACAAACAAGCAACAACCAAAAAAACCCACCCCAGAAATGGAAATCAACTTGTTAGTACAAAAACCAACCTGGTATGATAAGAGACTTTTTTTAAAGAAAACTATTTGAGCTTTTTGATATGAGAAAACTAAGCTATGTTTAGTTTTGAATGTGCTATGAGATTTTTTTTTGGCTAAAGATGGACAAAAAACATTCACACCAAACAATAACAAAGTTATTTAGTGTTAGGTAATTCAACAAAGCAGGCAAAGAGGAAGACCAATTAAGTTCAGTGTCTCTAAACATTTCAGGGCATCTAGTAATTTCAGGGCATTAATCTCAGCAGCATCCAGCTGCCAAATATTTAATCACTTAAATTTCCTTTACAGTCCAAAAAAATATTCCCAGATTGGTTAAGTGCAACGACTACGTATAACTTGGCAGAGACTTTCAAACCAAATTCTAGGACCAGTGCACTGTAGAAACCTATAAATACATTTTGGTCCATCATGAAACCGAAGCAGGAAAACAATCATAAACATAGTTAGACCTTCATTCCTTCTAGAACTAGACCAGTTCATAATGACCCATGGAAGGTTTAATGATATAATAAACCTATTAAAAGGACTATGCTTCAACTAATTAAGATATTTAAAATAATCTAAGATATTTTTGATAATCTCTTTTAAAAATAAAGTATATACATTTCCATGTGCTTTAAGAAGCATAGTTTTTAGAAATATATTTTAAATCTTGAAGGTGTCTAAGGTCTTGAATTCTTTAAGGTTTCTCAAAACTGTAATGTAGATGATTTTTAGTATTTTACCTAGTGCTTATTAATCAACTTTGCATACCTCTTGCTCATATTATTGATTGATTTATGTAAAATTAGACAGTTATGTAATTAAAGAACACAAGACAGGTCTTAAAGCACAATCTTGAAAAAGTCTTTTTCTTGTTTGTTTCATAAACAATTACACTGGGGCAGGGAGAAAGATGCCTATATAGAACACAGCAGGAAGTAAAAAAATCTTGCACTTACCAACGCCATGAGCTTTCAGTGCTTCTTCAACCTAAGTTACCAAGTCATCAACCAACAAGGAAGAAAGATACTTAAGATTCAAAGAACAACAATGAAAAGCTTTTATTATTTATAAAATAAGTTAGATAAACACCAGCACCATAGACTATCTCAGGTGAACAGAAATTTCAGACAAATGCTCTTTTTTCTGAGATTGTCTATTATTCAAATAAATCCATTCTGCATTTATTAACAGCCACGTATTCTCATGTATTGTCTTTACTAGACACAAAGTTGTAACAACATTTTCTGACAGAACTAATGTACAAAACCAAGTTCCACTTTATTGCAGTAAACAAGAGAGTAAAGCAGCAAAACTAGTTAAATATATAAATATGTAAAATACGTAAAAACTGTATGTTTTACAACTACATTAAAAACTAGATTTCAAATCCATATTCTATTGCTAAATAAATCTGTAAAATCTGAAAAAGGTTCATTCAAAAACTGATCTTACCGTCTTGTGTTTGAATCCAAGGAAGTGAGTCTGCAAGTTTAATGCAGAAGCACACCAGATTTTGCAAATCTAGATCAAAGAGAAGCATTTCCAGCATTGCACACAAACAAAAAGAAATAGAATACCACTGATATCAAAACAGATCTACTATCAAACTGTCAGTATAAGTAAGTTATACTAAAAACTAAAGCAGCCTCCCAGAACTTTTCTTTATGAGCCTGCAAGACAGTGGAATGAACAAGAATCTCCACATCACATAAAAATGTCAGATGTCTCCAGAACTCTGCAGCCACCTCATAACATTTTCTCTGTGTGTAGATAATTAAAGACAGATCCAAGATCTTCCTCACACACTCTTAAATAAGTCTGAGCCAGAAGCCCAGCATAATTGCAACAAGCCAGTACACCTGTCTAAGATGAGCCAGTTCTCAGCGTTGCATCCAGATTAATACAGTTACTCTGATCAGTTTGGGGCCTGCCTCACTCTGGAAGCTTTCCATACAGCTGGTTTATGCCTGGGCCAGTTCAGAATGGGAGCAGACTAGGTTTAAAATCATGTAAATGAACAACAGCAGTCCAAATTACTTTCTTTTCCTCTGAAAAACCCGAGATGCTTAAAAATAATAGCAATAAATGTGACAACCAGAGAAATTAGGATTATTTTTTTTTCTGAACAGGAGCTGCAGTTTAATCTTCCACTTTAAAAAGAATGCCCTTATTTAGAAATACAATATTATTAAAATTATTCGTTTTAATAAGTTGGTTCTTAACACACATCCAAGTCAAAGACAGCAAAACAACTTCAACTCCAGACCTATTTATCAATTTTGCTCAAGAGAAAAAAAACTCAAAAACGTTCACACTTGGTTTAGTACAACTTTGTTCCACCAAAATTATTTTGTATTAGTTACAATTTTCAACAAGGAATACTTACGTTGCAGTAGAAAGGGTTTACTTGCTTCTTTATCTCAGTTTCAGGGTCCATATTCAGTCTTTAGATGATAAAAAAACCTCTGGGAAAACTGCAGAAAGATTGCAAACTATTGTTTTAGCTTCACAAAATCATTTTTATTTTTGTTCCGCCTATTTAAGGAATTTGTGCCTCGCCTTCAGTAACGCTCTACCCTTAAATCTCCAGGCTAATGATCCTATTTTTAACTTGGGACCAAAAGTACAGCGTGGAAAGAAACAATTGTTCTCCAAGTTTCCCCCGGGAAACATAAAAGCCGCCAGAAGATTACGCACATAGCCCTGAAACAGAACTAATCTGGACCATTTAGAGCTTCCCCCTTCTTTCCTGGGATAGAACTGCGCGTATGGGCTGGGACAGATGACACAGACACAGGGTAGCAACCAGCATGGAGCGCCCGGAGCATGTTCCTGGCACAGGGGAAACACGGCGGGTTTTGGGAAGAGACGACCGGTCCCACCCGGGCCGCGGGGGCGAGGGAGGAAAGGAGAGAAGGAGAAAGAGAGAGGGGCGGCCCGCAGCTCCAAACCCTGAGCGAAGAGCGGCGCCAGGCGGGAGCGAGTCCTTTGCCGCCACTTCCAGCCCCGCCGGGGAGGACACGGACACCTGCTCCCGCACGGAACCGGGAAAACCCAGCTCACGGCGGCGGCCCGGGAGCGGGCGGTACCCGGAGGAGCCGAGTCAGCCGTCGCTCCCCGCCGCCGCACCGGCTCCTGCCCGCCGGCCGCTCGGGCGGGGGGTGACTCCTCGCCGCTCCCGCGGCTCTCTGCGGACAGGAGCCGCGTCACGCCGGGCGCGGGAGCCCCACGGTGGCGGGTCAGGGCTCGGCGCGGCGCCGGGTACCGGGATCTCCGCGCCGGCGGGCGGGGACGGGGCGCGGCGGAGGAGCGGCCTCGGCTCCCCCGGCGCGCTGCCCGCGGCCGCCGCTGGGGGCGCTGCCGCGCAGGCCCAGCGTCGCAGCGCCGGGCGCTGTCGGAGGTAAAGCCCGAGCTGGGTCCGGGGCCGCCGCACCGGGGCGGGGAACCCATCCCGCGCCCCCGGAGCGGGAGCGGAGCGGGATGAGGGTGCGCGATGGAGACGGGGATGCGGGATGCCGCGCTAGGGACGTGCGTCCCGGGAGCTCCGCCCGCGCCCGGTGCAGGCGGGGCTGCCCGCCCGCTTCCCGGCGGCCGCTGGGTGTTCGCACGCCGCTCCCCACAACACACACACGGACACACGGACACGCACACCCCGCACCCGCCTCCCCGCAGCGCCGCCGCACCTGCAGGCTCGGGGTCCTCCGGGATGTGTCTCCCCGTGCGGGAGAGGCGGCGTGTCCCGCGGGACAGGCCAGTGCCGCGCCGCCCGCGCTGCGGCGGGGCGGGAATCCAGCGCGGGGTTTGCGGGGAGCTGGAGGGAGCGGTGGCGTCGACCTGCGGGCGGGGAGGTGAGGGAGGCGGGGAAGGAGGGACGGACGGAGGGAGGGAGCCGGGAGAGGCGCTTTGTTAGGCGGAGGGAGCTACCGGGGCCGCAGGGTGGGGTGTTCCCCGCCGCCGGCGCCGGTCCCCGCGGGCGCGGGGTGACAGCAGCGCCCGCCGCCCCCGCCGCGGATGCGCCCGGATCCCGCCGCAGCCTCCGCGCCCGCCCAGGGTGGAGCGGCCGCCTTTGTGGAGCCGGGACCTGCTCTCCTTTCTCCTTCGAGCAGAAGAGGAGCTAGCGTGGAGATTAGAAAAACCCCAAAAAACACACAAGGCTCGAGTTAATGTTTGAGAAGTTCGGGTGCGGGAGAGTCTGGTAGGATTCCTGTATTATGCCTATTTTTGATGGATTTCAGGCAGTCGTTCGGAATAACAACCTGCATCCATTACCTTGCGTGCACAAAGTGCTTTGGATGTCCTCCATAGGTAGCGGGATGACCCGCTTGAAATGTATCTCTGTGTATATATAGTCTAATAGCCTATATTTTTTTAAAATACATTTCCGTGTATTGGTATATAAAATTCGACAGGAGAAATTTAGGCAAAGTACTGTGAATTTTTACTAATAGATTGTTTTGCTCATTTGCTGGATGATCCGTGATAACTCCTCGTTTGTATTAAAACGTTGGGGGGGGGAAAGCACCCAAAGAGGTGGGATTTTTTTAATCTGATTAAAACACAATTTCCATAAAGAACTGATTCATATTTGGAATATACACCTAATTAACTAGTGATTTCAAGTCTCAGGGTAGACAGGGTCAGGCCTGGAACATTAATGGAAGCTCAGTGAGGAAAACCTAACATTTGAAGAACAGTATTTACTTCTGGTTCTGTTATTCAAATGAAATATAAACCTGTTGTGACTTGTGTGGCTCATTCCAGTGCCTTTCTTTCATCCTCAAACACTGGATGAAAAGGACAGAATTATAATAGATTTCCAATGCTGTTAATTACTGACTATACTTGAAGCTTTGCCTGCAATTTAAGTTGGATACATAAATTTTCTTTTTTTCAGTTCTTGACTATTTCTGGTAGTGATTCTGTTGGCATTGGTACGTGTAATTAATTCTCACACTGTGACCACAGTTTGCTATTTTCTTTGGGTTTGGTTAGTGTAACCTTAACATTTTGGTCAAGTCTTCCACCATAACATTCTCTCTGCATTTTCTTATGCCTAAAAGAAATATTTGATGGACCGAAGATGCTGCTCATACATGCCAACCTGAAGGGCTTCTTTGCAACTGATTGGAGTTTGGGTGTCTGTTTAGGTGTGTGCAAGCAAAATAATACATATATATAACATACTTATGAACATCTGTGCACTTCTTAACTTGTGTAATTTTTTTTTCAAGATATTCTTCCAGCAGATCACAGCACACACCTTATAGTCTTTAAAAGAAAGCAGCACAAAGTGCTTTCAAAGTAAAGATGAGGAGCTGAGAGATGTTTCTGTTATCTTAAAGCTATAAAGGTTTGTGTGAGAGGACAAGTACTTAGAACACTGATTTCTTTTAAGGCAAGTTGTGAATTGAGTCATGCCAGGGGAAGATAAATAGGATAAAGTGCTTCCTCACTGCAAGTGTCTTGGAGGCTAGGCACCTGTAAGAGTGGGAGAAGCTTTCCATTTTTTGTTTCTTAGAATCTACTCTGCAGCTGTCCTCAGGCACCCACATAAATCAATCCTGTTTACTGGATGAGTTCTACACCGTAAACTACTTTCATTTCAACACAGATTCCTACCTACTAAATTATATCCTGGGCATATGTCCTGGAAGGCTCTCTTAGCCATGAAATGGAAATTCTGTGGGCTTGTGAGAGTCCTTTCTCGTATTCTGCAGAGGAGTCAGTGAGCTGCCAGAAGGTGATTAATATGCATAAAGAAAAAGAGGTGAATATAAATACATGGTGGTGTTTTGCTGCAACTTCCCAGCATACTAAGTTCTCTGACACCTCAGAGTACTTTCTGTTCACCTAATTGCAGGTGGGCTGTAATATTGAAGCAAGCAGGCTAAGCATGTAAGAGCTTGAGAAGAATCTTCAAGAACTCTTCTGTGTAGTAAGTGCATAAAACTGCTCACACCAATTCTTGGGTTCTTTTATGCATCCTAGATCATAATCCTGGCTTCTTCACAGAAAGGACACAGTTACAGTGTGTATGTGTAGGAAAAAAATATTACGAATGTGCTTAGGGGAAGAGAAAACTAATATATTCTTCTCGATGTAGGACCTATGTTTTCAACTTATGACTGGGGATCTCAGGTGCTACCACAGTAAAAATAATAGAAATAAATGATTGTGTGGTATGAAAGTGATACTTAAGTTTGCTGTTACTCCATCCATGAAAAATGAGCTTTTATTCTAGTACATAAGTTGCTAATATATATGAAGTCATATTTGGAAATGTTTTAGATATTTACTGACATCAGTTGTGTCTGCCAACCTATGTAGCTAGATACTTAGCACCTGGAATCCAGAAGTCCTAGTAACGTTGTTTAACTTTTTGAACTTAGTTTCCAAAGTATCCAGTGTCTCTAATTAAAGGAATTTTCTACACACAAACACGTAATGATTTTTTTGTCTGAGATTCTCACACCTTTTCAAAGCTAGAAATAAGATTTACATGCATCAGCAGAAGGTAGAATCAACCATTTCTGGTCACATGGAGTCTCTGATTTGGGTTTTTCAAGGGTCATAGGCTATTGGATCTTACGAGTTGCTGGTGGGACTGCATTTCATCCCATTCTTTGGTAGAATTGAGGCTAAGAGAGAGCCCTAATATTTAGTCCCAAGAATTTTGTTTCAGCAGCTGTCCAAAGCAGCTTAATGGTTTGGAATGGTACAATAGCTATGTAAGTAAAATAGATCAGTAGGTAGAATCTATCCCATTATAGTCTATTTTATTTTATATGTTTTCAGAGTTGTTTCATGGAGCAAAGTTGCCAGTTTTCAGTATCTTTATTAGGTTGTCAACTTCCTTTCTTTTTCTCTTTTCTTAATTTATGTTTTATTTAAGGAACTTCTGAAGTAGCTGTTCTCTTCTAGTAGACCTAGTCATTATAATATCTATGTGATGTATGTATGTGATAAAAGAAGTTTCTTTGCTTATGCTTAGTTTTTTCTGTGAGATTATAGCTTTTTAAGAATTCCTGTCACCAACACGTGGGGTGACTTAAGTTTTCACAGACTGTAAAAAAAATAACTTGATATAGCATGATGGAGGAAATACTGAATCAGGAAACTGTCTTCCTTAGGTTCGTCCACCCAGCTCTCTTCTTTCTTGCACCTTTTTCTTTCATGTAAAATAAATAAGCTGTGAGCTGTGTTCTGTGAGCAGTAGCACTATTAAAGTCTGGTTTCCTACAGAGCTTTCCCTTTGTCCCCTAAATCCTGTCTACTGCAAAAACTCCAGCTCTCCCATGTCCCCGTGACACCAGCGTTTGGTAAGAGCAGAACTGAAACTAGCCAGCAACTATATAGGTGCTACCTGCCCAGTCAGTACGTGCCCAGCAATTACCCGATAGAGCAGAGACAGAAAGTACAAACCAAGTGTTTGTTGCCTTTTTCAGTAGGGCTACAACTTAAATACTGACTTAACTTAGGCTGTTACTTGTTTCAATTCACTTTGTTTCAGTTTTGCTATTCCAGGCTTTGTTTTACTGCCTCCTCTATTCTTTGACTCCTCTTTGTTTGCTGGTGTCATGGTTTAACCTCAAGGAGCAACGAAGTACCGTGCAGCTGCTTGCTCACTCCTTGCTCCCGAGTGGGCTGAGGTGGAGAATTAGAATAAAAAGTAAAACTTGTGGGTTGAGATAAGAACAGTTTAATGATTGAAACAATGTAAAATATAGTAATACTTGTAATGAAAAGGAGAGAGAGAGAGAGGAACAAAACTCAGGAGAAACAAGTGAGGCGCAATGCAGCTGCCCACCACCTGCTGACTGATGCCCAGCCTGTCCCAGAGCAGCAATGGGCAGATCCCAGCCAACTCCCTCCTCATTTATACACCGAACATGACATTTTATGGTGTAGAGTTATCCCTTTGACCAGTTCAGGTCAGCTGTCCTAGCTGTGCTTCTTCACAGCCTCTTGTGCTCCTGCTCACTGGCAGAGCATGGGACACTGAAAAGTCCTTGACTTAGAGTAAGCACCACTGAGCATCAACTGAAGCATCAATGTGTTATCAGCATTATTCACATACTAAATTCAAAACGCAGCACTGTACCAGTGACTAAGAAGAAAATGAACACTGTCCCAGATGAAACCAGGACAGCTGGGTTTTGTCATATTTTATGGGCTACTTGAGAAAGCTGCTGTTTTTAAGTCACTCATGTTCTCATTTTAACATTAGCTTGTCTGTTAGGTTTCTTTATAAATATAAGTAGTTACCTTTACTGAATGAGGTGAGAATAACTATAAATATTGAAATGTTTGGAGGAAAGGGATTACAAGAATGGCACAAAGAAAGTCCTAGTGCAGTGGAGTTAAGGAAAAATACTTTGAAAAGAGGAAACATGATGGTGATATCTAGTGCATCGTCAAGTAATGTTATGAGAGAAGTATCACAGAACATTCTGAGTTGAAAGGGACCCACAAGGATCACTGGGTCCAAATATTGAGTGAATGGCCTGTACATGGATCAAACCCATGACCTTGATATTATTAGCAGCATTCTCTAACCAACTGAGCTCATCTAAGGGTCAAGCAGTGAAACAATGGGCAAAATAGCAGAAAATTCGTTTTAGGAAAGTCCTAGACTGTTAGGAATATGAACCAATTATCTTATATATGTTCTATCTTTGAGTTTTATGATTAAAATCAGAAGAAATGTGAACTAAGGCAGCATTGCTGTCCTTTTCCTACTTAATTATCCAGAAGTTTCTGCCCAAAATATAAAAGTAATTTGGGCTACACAGTTATAGTGAAAACAAATAGAGGGAAGAGTGTGAAAAGATAAAAGAAAAAAATTGCCTTTGCAGCATGTGTTGATAATTCAAGGCAACACTGTTTTCTTCCTTTTTTTAATGTCAGAATTCCCTGGTATCAGCTACCCTTTTCCTATTGACCACGTAGGTCCTAGGCTTGAGAAGAGAGGCAGTTGTTGATGTGATGTAAGTGTGTAGCAGTATCTGTACTGAGAGAAGCCAAAACTCTTTTTAGCCTGGCTGTTCGCTCCCAAGAGTGATGAGCAGGGCAGGCAAAAAGAAGTGCCACACAGGCAGGTTTCAGCAGTAAAGGGTGAAGGACCTGTACCTTCCAAGCACTTAGTCTCCATAATTCCTTTGTGTCTTCTTGCAACCCTTGCCACTCCTCATTATTGTAATAAGGTCAGGATCCTGTTGCCTTGTTGGGTGTCAGACAAGGAGGGCAGAGCTCAGGGGAGAACCAAGCTGACAGGTCTTTAAAAAGAAAACTTCTTAGTATCATTTCTCATACAACTTTCAAGTACTGTAGAGAGAGGGGGGTAATTAGAAATATACAGTCAGCAAGGGCAGAAGAGGCTCTTTTGTGTACAAAAGAAAAACCAAACCTCATGAAGGTGTCTTTAGACTTAAACCCAAAGTTATCAAGGGCTGTATTTCAGAACTTGTTGCACAGTTCAGGGCTTTGAAAACTCTTTGGATGTAAAAAAGTGCAATAAACAGGAAAATAAGATATTGAAAACAAGTCACTAAGTAAATTGAATAGCAAATATTTTGTATCAAGACAAATTGTAACAAAGACCTCCCGTGGTCTACTTCTGGAACTGCGTATCCACTAAAGTGGCAACACAAAACAGCATGGAACTATACCATATATTACCCGATTGTTCCATTATGTACTCTAGAACTACTCAACTATTCTATTGAAATGAACCAGAGGCTATGCTGAGAATTTATTTGCTGAAACATGGTTTCCTGATACTGTAACTAGTTCTAATTTGTGTTTGTTTTTTGTTTTTCTTTTTCCTTTCACAATTGTTTTCATAGGAATTTTGGCTTCTTGGAGAAACAGTAGAAAATGCAAAACGAAATAATAAAGCCTGCTAAATACTTCTCGGAAGTGGAGAAGAGTGTGCTGCTTGCGTTAGTTGAAAAATACAAATATGTGCTTGAATGTAAAAAAAGTGATGCGAGAACTATTGCTCTGAAACAACGTACCTGGCAAGCGCTAGCTCATGAATATAATTCACAGCCCAGTGTATCACTGCGAGACTTCAAACAGTTAAAGAAATGCTGGGAAAATATCAAGGCACGGACAAAAAAGATAATGGCACATGAAAGGCGGGAGAAGGTAAAAAGAAGTATTAGTCCACTTATAAATACTCACATCGTAGGGAAAGAGAAGATTGCCAGCATAATGCCTGAGCAAATGTACTTTTTGCAGAGCCCACCAGAAGAAGATTCTGAATATCAGCCTGATGCTTCTAGTCAAGGTATAAATGTTACTGTAATGATGCAAGTAGTATTGTTTTGTATGTGATTTTGCCAGTGATTCTCTTTCAGCAGTCTAAATCTCTCTACCTAGCTGGGACTGCTGGTTATAGAAAAGTAATTTCATAGCTATGATATTACAAGACTTTGTGTATTACCCTAGGCCTCCGGGAGTTAAACTGAGGGTTTTCACAAATTTTTTTCATCAGTTTCTGACATATCTGCTGCTTTGTGGCAAGCATCACAGTAGCTATCATGCTGGCTTTCCAGAGAAGAGTCCCAAGGATATTCGTATTCTTTATAAAGTATAATTTTGCTGGTTAAAACAAACAAACAAACAAATCCACCAGCAGAAAATTG